AGTCCTTAAATAATTAGATAAGGACAAGTTGTTAACCAAAAATATAAAGTCCTCTGTTAATAACAGGATCCACTATCAACAACAGATGTGGTAGTAACTGCTTAACATTCAAAGGTTCCCACTGTAAGTTTTGATTGTGCTTAATAATAAACTGTTGTAACAGCTGAAGTAGGAGATGTTAAAAGAGCAACTGACATATGGAGAGAGGCAATAAAAGACAGTGGCTAGAATCCTATTGGTGTTTATGTAAAGGTTTGAATAGCTTGCCCTAGCTAATTGTGGCTAATTGGCAGGGTGCCAAGGCATGTCTGATTTACATATGTGGTGATGCACCCAAATGCATGACCAAAATACTGCACCTTATCATTTAAGTACAATTAGTAATAGCAAGTTATGCAAACCCTGAAGTGCATTTGGAATCTGGCCATTAGATAATAGAAAATTACTGTGGGATATTCAGCAAATAAGGTGAATATCATATATTAATGTATAAACTTCCTTTCCAATAAGTTCAAGACATTTTGTAAAAAGATTTTCAAATAATAACTAGTGGTAGGTAGTTCAGGCAGTGATTTTATTAATGGAGGAGATTTTAGCTCAGCTTTAGTGGTGTCTGGTTCTTCCAGTTATTTGTATTATGATTGTCTTCATGTTTCCACTGTCCTCCCACAGAGTGCCCCATATGTAATATCAATCGTCTTTCTTTATTTTTCTTTTTTTCTTAAACCGCAACATAAACATAAACATAAAATATATAAACCAAAACACAAATAGACTGTGTTCCCCACCACCATAGTTGGGACCTCTTGTGTAATGTCAATCTTAGACACAGTGCTAGGTAGGATGCTTAGTTGTACAGTGTTTTTACATAAAGTTATTACATTGATCTGTACTGAGTCTCTGGAGACTTCAGTTTATCAATTTCATTGACTGTTTCTTTTCAATTTGCCTACTATTCTGACTAAGTGATATCAGATTTCTCCATTAAAACAAATACCTGTTCAAATTACACCTTCTTGGCAGTTGGTATGGCAGCAAGCATTTATCTTATGCTGCTTTCTCCACTTTATTGTCTTAGTTTTATTTGTTTTATTGTTTCACCTATTTGGTCTTATTGTCTGTATTCTTTGTACCTCTTGATGTACCAAAAATCCACTTCTTCAGACATATCTGCCCCAACAATACTGTTGTTCTGTGTTAATGTTGCTGAAACAGATTAACATGCCTTTCTGAAAATTTCTGAATATGGTGATTTCGGGAAATTATTTTGCTAATAATGAACTTTTCCAAATGTGGATCCTGATTTGTTTGTGTGCAAAAGAAGGGGAGACAGAACAGGATGGTTTGTACTACAGTGGTGCCTCGCATAACGAGTGCACCGTTTAATGACGAATCTGCATAGCGATCCCTTTTTTGGGATCGCTAATGCGATTGCATACTGATGGTTCCAATGGGCAAAACTCGCATTGCGACGATCGGTAAGTGTTTCGCTTACCGATATTCGCATTGCGATGTCGGGAAATCAGCTGTTCGGCGGTTCCAAAATGGCCGCCGGAACACCCAAAATGGCCGCCCGCATTGTTTTCGCGCCCTGCCCTTGCTTACCGAGGGCGCGAAAATGGTGGCGCTATGGGGAAACTTCACACAACGGGGAGTTTTAGAGCCATAGGAACGCATTAAACTAAGTTTAATGCGTTTCTGTGGCGTTTTCTGTTCCGTATAGCGATGTTTCCCCATAGCGATGGTTAATCCGGAACGGATTAACCTCGCTATGCGGGGCACCACTGTATTAGGTGAAGTCACTGCATGCTAGGCACTTCCATGAGTTACTGACAGCTTAATGTTAAATTTAAAACATTACGTCTTGTCTATATTACAGCATTTTTTATTAAACATTATTTATGTGCCCAACTAACGTTTCCAGCTTAAGATAGGTGTGGAAGTCAGGACAGTTTTGTGCTGCAGCTCAGTTCAGATAATTTGCATGAATGGTTTAGAAAGCAAAGGTTTGTATAACTTCTCATGACCAGTTGTAGCTAATTGACAAGGTACGGGAACAGATCTTGGTTGTGCAGTTGGTTGTGTGACCAGGTACATGGTGAAGACATACCTTGGTATCTTATTAACTAACCATAATTAGCTGCAGCAAGTCATGCAGACCTTATACAAACAGTAGGATTCTAGCCAGTATTTCTAGGCTTCCTAAAATGGAATACTTATTAAAATATTTTATTCTAATAAAATAATTCAAATACAATTACAATAATTAGCAAATAAAAATAAAATGATAGCAGAAATAATTCAATAGAAATATACACTTGGAGAAGTGCCAGCAGATTAAAAAGATTTCAGTCATTTCTTTAATAGAGCCTCATTATGTTAGATGTCACTGTGAAGTTCTTTTAGGGTATGGCACTGTTTGTTTAAATGTAATGCACTACACTAAATTTTATAAATCATGATAAGTGTTTCATTTAAGTAGGTTTGACAGTTTTATCAGACAAGACATGTGGCCCACAACTAGCAAAGGAAATCCTTTGTAAGCATCTGCAAATTGCCTCTCAAGTGACCTTACTTCCCTATTAATACATTTACGTAAGTAATTATGCAAATTACATTTACACTCAATAGGAATTAAGTAATGCTTGCTTGAATTAGAGCTGTACTACGGCAGTCCTATTATAGGTGTACTATTTTATTATTTAGGATACTGCCTCCCTCAAAAAAGTAAGATGAAAGTAAGATGAAACTTTTCTTTACATGAGTACAGTCTTGACTCCTGCTTATCATTAAGCATTTTAATGGCTAGAATGTCTCTTATTTTTGATCGTTGTTGTGGGTTTTTTGGGCTCTTTGGCCGTGTTCTGAATGTTGTTCTTCCTGACGTTTCTCCAGTCTCTGTGGCCGGCATCTTCAGAGGACTGGAGTAGGAACTCTGTCCTCTGGAGATGCCAGCCACAGAGACTGGCGAAAAGTCAGGAAGAACAACATTCAGAACACGGCTAAAGAGCCCAAAGAGCCCAATCATCAGATCCCGGCTGTGAAAGCCTTCAAGAATACATCTCTTATTTTTGTGTCAAAATACCTAGTCTGTTATTTTCTGTATTACATTTTTATTACAGTCTCCAGAAATCAGTTTGTCAGAATAGCAGCTTTTAAGGAAGCAGAAAGTGAAAAATTGGCTACTGTATTTAAATTATGCTGACTGTCCTGAGTGAACAAGAGTAGACAGAACACATCCAGATCACAAATTGATATGTGTACTGCAAGAGCAATGTGTCCTCTTATCTAAGCCTGTGATTTCTTACAGATTAAATTGATGTTGTCCAGCTCCCTAAAAATATGGAATCAAATTTGACCTAATGGATTTTTCAGATTTCTCTCTAGGAAAACAGTATTTTTTGTAACAGTGTTTTTTGAAATATTCTTATCTACCCAGTTAAAAATAGAGACCTTTTTTAGTTAAGTAATTGCTCTTGTGTATATAGATCTTTACTTCTTTTGTCTTCACAAGGGTAAGGGGCCATACAATTATTTTTCCCATCCCTTCTTCTGAGAAGTTAGTATATATTGCTTTAAACAAGAGAAGGAAAACTAAGCATTTATAAACTTCACAAAATCATTCATTTTGAGTGTAATTATCTCTTGTATACTTTTGGACTATAGAACAACTCTGTATACCAATCCATTGAAAGGCATGACAACCTAGTATAATATATTTTTAATTGGAAGTAAGTAGCTCATGCTTTGTGTGTGCATGTGTATGCAGCCGTGAGTCAGAGTTTAGCAGATGCACATCTTTAGAAAACTGCTTTGGAGATGTGGCTGGAATATTATTTTAATTGTACAGGGCTTCCCATAGGAAAAATACAAGAATATTATATACATAGGCAGGGCTTGACAAAATTGAGACTGTCTCACCAGTCAATCAAAAATTTCACCAGTCAGCATGGCCGGACTATAGCCTTGCAATTTATGTTAAGAAATTTAAACTACCGTATTTTTCGCTCCATAAGACGCACCTTTCCATATACAAACCCAAAATAAATACACTCTCAAACAGGAAAAAAATTATCTGCTTTCTTCTCCTAAAACTTGGTGAGCCTTATGGAGAGGTCCATCTTATGGAACACACCCTAGGGTCCTAGGGTGTGTTCCAGGACCCTTTGGAGCCTCCCCCTGCCTCCCTCGGGGGCCAGAGGGGGTGAAATCGCCAGCTTCTGGGGCTCTTCTGAAGTTTTCCCCCCCACGGGGCCAGCAGCGACGAAATTGCTGCATTCACACCATTAGACGCACTGACTTCCCCACCCACATTTTGGAGGGGGGAAAGTGCGTCTTATGGTGCAAAAAATACGGTAGGCACTTGTTCACTTTTATTTCTAGGTAAGAATGCATACAAACCCAAAATAAATACACTCTCAGACTTGGGTTGCTTTATTACTGTACCTTCGTGCCTGTGGGGTCATTACGCTTGTATTTTCAGTGCCTTTCTTTTGAATGTCTCCAAAAATATAACTGAAAGCAAAAGTGCCCAGCCTCTAAAGGAGCCACAGTTCTCTCCCATACCAGGATGTGTCCTCATTGGGTTGAAATTGGGAGCAGGGAATCTCCATATTCTCCAGCATGGGACTACTCTACATTCTCCTGCATAGCTGTATATATGTGCCACTTGAACTCTCTTCTTGCAAGAGGGCTGTTTTCCTTTTGCAATGGGAGGCAGAGGGGAGGACTGCAGGATCATTGACAGATGGGCGGAGGGTAAGGAGGCAGGGAGGGAGGGAACTGTGGTTCATCAAGGAGCATTTTTTTCACTTGTCACAGACGAGTGGACGAGTGGATTTTTCAAGCCCTGTACATAGGTCATGGTGCGCATTTCATAAAACTTTTGTGAGGAAATATATGCAGTACAACCATTTAATCTTTCATTGGTTTTCGGTGCTTGTTCTTAAGATTTAGAGTTGTACTTTTTTACATTCATTTTTGCATATGTTCTCTTTCAGGGTAACATTTTGTCATCTGCCTTTCCAGAGTAAATGGCTGTATGTGGGTACTGAAAGAGGAAATATACACATTGTCAATGTAGAATCCTTCTCTCTCTCAGGCTATGTCATCATGTGGAATAAAGCCATTGAACTGTGAGTATGGTCTGTGTGAAAACAGATGTGATTCCTTTGGACACTGCTGATGTTTATGTGTGTTTTCCCTGTTGACAAAACATGCAAAAATACACATGCTTTTAACTGTTGCAATAAAGCCCTGGCTGCTGTCAGTTTTGTATGTATATTTAAAATATATCTGCGAGAGGAAAATATCACAGCTATTACATCTGTGTATAAAATATTGAGAAGGATTGCAATCTTATTTATTAAAGCTAGTGTCATACACCTCAATACTGTGCATGTGTATTCAGCTGCAGGTCCCACTGTATTCTCCAGAATACAATCCTGGGTACTTGTGTATAGAAATTTATACCTTGTAGGTATATATTGTAAAACATGGAATCCTAATTTCAGCTTGCAAAATAATTTTCTAAATGCTTTGCTTTCTAATTTAGAGAAATTGCATTTCTATCCTGTTTCCCCCGAAAATAAGACCTAACCAAAAAATAAACCATAGTATGATTTTTCAGGATGCTCGTAATATAAGCCCTACCCCAAAATAAGCGCTAGTTACTGTATTTTTCACTCCATAAGACACGCCTAATTTTTAGAGGAGGAAAACAGGAAAAAATATTCTGAACCAAATAGTGTAATAAAATATTTAATAAACTATAACAGAATAACATTTGAACTATGTAAAGTGAACAGCAGTCAACAGTGGCATTAAGAACCATTACCACTGTCATTAACAAATGGAGAGACTTAAAGGTTTGTGTACTCTAGTTTATGTACCATAAATCTGTGCACCATAAATTTAAGTCAAGTACATTATCAGCCAGTGATAAGACCTATACCACACTACCTATATTTTACATTTCTACCTTAATTGATTCAGTCTTCATACTTTTTCACTGTATGGTCACTTGATTTAATAGTTTCATGTGACATGGTGAGCCCTACTGTTGCCCATACTGTGTTCACTTTTTACAAATTGTTGTTACATGACAATTGATCCTAGTGATAAGTTCAGCTCCCAACAATAATTTATTTTAGTAATTGACTAGTATATATGTGTACGGATGGATGTATCTCAGATATGAATTTATGACTGAAATCCAGCTAAAGTAGGCCTCTTCAATCAATGGAGTTTATAGAAAAGTTGATACACGGAATCCCCCATTGATTCAGTGGGTCTACTTTAGTTACACTGTACCACGATTACAGCATATGTTTATACAGATATATGTATCAGTGCTTATATTTCTTATCAATTACCATATTTTTTGCTCCATAAGACACACTTCCCCCCCCAAAAAATGTGGGGGGGGGAGTCTGTGCGTCTTATGGAGCGAAGGCAGCAGTTTCGTCCCCGCTGGCCCCGTGGGGGGAGCGTCACAAGGGTCCAGGTGAGCCTTCCAGGACCTTTGCGACGCTCCCTCCACCCACCCCCTACGGGGCCAGCGTGGGCGAAATCGTCAGCTTCCGGGGTGATTTCGCCCCTGCTGGCCCCGTGGGTGGGGGGGAGGGGGGGGTGGGGGTGGGGGGAGCCTCCCAAGAGTCTGAGTCTGCCTTCCAGGACCCTTGGGAGGCTCCCTCCCACGGGGTCAGCTTGGGCAAAATCGCCATCTTCTGGGAGTCTTTTGAGGCTTGGGAAGCTTCAGAAGACTCCCAGAAGCTGGCGATTTCGCCCCTGCTGGCCCCGTGGGGGGTGGGGGGAGCATCGCAAGGGTCTGAGTGAACCTTTCAGGATCCTTGCAATGCTCCCCCACCCCCGCACGGAGCCAGTGCGGGCAAAATGGCCAGCTTCTGGGAGTCTTTTGAGGCTTGAGAAGCTTCAGAAGAGTTCCAGAAGCTGGCGATTTCGACCCCTCTGACCT